ATTCCTTTCATTTTGATATAAGTTGGGTTGACATAATAATAATTTGGTATATAAAGTTGTCTAAGAGCTACAACAGATACATTAGTACATTGGTATAAGTAGTGGTATTCGTCCCCAACACAGTTATTACATAGGGGGACATAACCTTCCTCGCGTGGGACTCTATTCCATCTTCCTGTTTCTATAGGAAATTTTATATTTGATGTTCTAAATTTACATATTCCTTTTCGTTCATTACGATTTAGCTTTAAAAGATATCGTTCAATATTAAACTGAAATTTGAATAAGGAGTAAACTTGCCCTCGCGAGGAGGTTTCAACATCATGAAACCAACTTTGAATGAATTGATCGCATAATCTCTGCTTAATGATAGTTTTCAAGCATTGTCTATTAATTGTACATGATATTTGGAAAGTCCATAAATTATTAAATCCAGTATTGTTTAAGATATCTCGTTTACACGTTAACCATTTAAAACTTAATAAAGAATTCTGGTGCAAATTGTACATTACCTTATACATTACACTAGATAATTTCAATCCACCCGTTGTAAGCATATGCCAGAACATAACCATTCTAACACTGATTTCAATTTCTAGGGGATACCTTCCTAACTCACCATATACCATATAATTTGGGGTGCACTTCCGAATGTTAAGAATATCCTTACAAAACTGTAAATGTATTTTTTCGATACTTTTTGTATTTTCATAGCCCCAGATTTCACATCCATATAATAAAATAGGTGACACAAGTGCATCAAATAATTTCAGTTGAAGATCTACAGGAATGGAAATATTTCTAATCTTAATATACAATGCATATAAAGCTTTTTTTGCTTGCTCTGTTAGTTTACTTTTGGCTTTTGTAAAAACACCATTGTAGTTTAATATTATTCCAAGATATGTGTAAGAATCTTGTAATTCTAAAATCTCATTATTCAAAGTAAAGTGATGGTCTCTTTTACTTTTTCTTTTTTCAAAAATCAAAACTTACGTTTTTTGGGTATTAACTGTTAATTTCCATATATTACAATAATTTTGGAATTCATTCAATGCGTTCTGTAGGCCATCTGGTGTTTCTGACAAAAGCACTGTATCATCAGCATATAATATAATAAACAATTTTTAGTACAAACCTAAATTTTGATCACTAAGAGCATACACTTCATTCAAACAAGAAACATTACGTTGATTGAGGAAATCCTCTAGATCGTTAAGAAAGAGGGAAAACAAAAATGGCGATAAGTTTTCTCCTTGTTTTACCCCGACATTGCACATGAAAAAGTCAGATGTATCATTACCATTAATTACGCATGATTTGGTATTTCGATGTAAATTATGAAGGACTTTAAATATTTTGCCCGTAATGTTACTATTTTGTAATTTTCTCCACAAGCCTGCTCACCACACCGTATCAAAGGCCTTTTTAAAATCAACGAATGAACAATATAACTTTTTACCCTTTGAAAAATATAAAGAAATTAGGGAATGCAATATAAAAATGTTTTCAGTAGTGGAATGGTGCATACCGACTACATAGACACTTTCAATAATCATCTTCTTCATTTGGATTCTGAAATATTACAGATTTAATGGTTTATCCAAAATATTCTATACGTATCGTAAGTTTTTGGAATATTTATTCTAGTTATTACAACAACGGACATTACAATAAATAAGTTGAATAAAATTCAAGATCTCGCAATTTCATATAATTCTAAGAACTACCTACGCCATCAGAGACTAAATTTAAAGCATATTTCTTGAGAGTTTGAGTTGGACAATGTGTCCAACTCATTATCATTACGGTTCACTGAGGTGTCTGACTCAATATCCAAACGACATTGTAAATATATCTTTCATTCCAAAAATATATAGCAATTAACATATTACGTTCCAAACAGATTATCTTTGTTGCTTTAATAAATCACGACCCAAAAGTTCAGTAAAGCAATGCATGAAATGTCCTTAATATCCCAAGAAACTGAAATAGAAAAGTTGTTTTTCTTAAAATAATCGAGTCAAATTTAGGCATTTTACCTTGTTTGTATTCTCTTGGTTCGTAGCTTCTGGGGAAAGGTCTACTATACCGGATGTGAAAAGGGAGGTAACTCGCATAGAGTACAGGATTCAAGGATTAGATCATCTTGAATTCTTTTTAAAATGTGTTTGACTCGTGATCATGTTCGACTCACGATCAGTTTACCCTATCAGTTAAGGTTGCCAAGGGGTCAGTTATGGCCCCCTCTCTGGTCAACTATAGCTGTATAATCCAGCTTGGCATGATCAAGTAATGTGTTTGGAGACACCTCAGGCCCGAGGGTTTGTTAGATCATCCACTCTCAGCTTCATCTGTGTATAGCCGATGGACATGGATTTACCACAGTCTCCTCATCAATATATAAAGGCTGATAGGTTATGCAGACTGTCGGTATACAACCAACTGTCCTGGCAGCAGAAAATCCCATCCCTCGCTCTCTCTCCTTTTATCTCCATTGTACATTCGGTAGTCGCTAGTCAGTCAAAGTAGTGATTCATTTGCTGAGCTATTAGTTTTATTAGCTCACCTTGCCCGAAGGGCCAAGTGAGCTTATGCCGTGGTGCAGCGTCTGGCGTCAATATTTTACTTTAAACAACTCTTTCTTAATAACCAAAAGGCCCAGGGTGATGATATTTGGCCAGAAGCAAACTGGGATGAAGGGCTACAAAGTTTGTTCAAATAAATGACCTTCACCCATATTCAAGGTCACAGGGGTCAAATTTGTTAAAAACTTTAAACAACTTCTGAATAACCAAAATGCCCAGGGTGATGATATTCTGCCTGTAGCATGCTGTGATGAAGGGCTTCTAAGTTTGTTCAAATAAATTACCTTCATCTATATTCAAGGTCACAGGGGTCAATTGTCTTAAAAAACTTCTTCTGAATAACCAAAAGGACCAGTATGGTGATAATTTTTATTTGGTGTTTAGCATGCTGAGATGAAGGGCTAAAAAGTTTGTTCAAATAAATTACCTTCACCCATATTCAAGGTCACAGGGGTCAAATTTGTTAAAAAAAAATCTTCTGAAAAAGAACCAGTATGGTGATATTTGTTCAGTAGCATGCTGGGATGAAGGGTTACCAAGTATGTCAAATGAATGACCTTGACTTATATTTAAGGTCACATGGGTCAAATATGTTTGAAACTTTTAGTTGACTTCTGAATATCCGAAAGGTGCAGTAATATGATATTTGGCCCATAACTAATGGGATGAAGGGCTACCAAGTTTGTGTGAATGAATGACCTTGAATTATATTCAAAGTCACAGGGGTCAAATATGTTAAAATCTTTAAACGACTTCTGAATAACCATGAGGCATAGGATGTTGATATTTAGCCAGTAGCATGCCTGGATGAAGGGCTATCAAGCTTTTTCATTTGAATGACCTTTACCCACTTTCAAGGTCAAATATATATATATATAAACATTAAAATGACCTTATTTCAATAAACAAAGGGATAAGGTGGTGATAATTTGAAAGTTCCATCCTGCGATGAAGGGCTTAAAATTTGTTCAACTTAATGACCTTGTTCAACTTTCAAGGTCACAGGGGTGAAATCTTTTTAAATCTTTTAACAGGTTCTGTGGAATGACTTTTAATCATAAATATTGATATTTTGCCTGTAGCTTTATTTTAGATCATTTTTAAGGTTACAAGTGTGAGATAAATACCAGGTGAGTGATGCAGGCTTACTGGGCCTCTTGTTATAGTCTCTGATCAGAAGATAGTACTTCATTATCTGTAGACTGATTTATGTCATTTTGTTGTAATTTATACTGTATAGTTGTATACTCCTACATAATATTGGATGATCATTGGTTTTGGCATGAACCTATTTCTGAGTTCTATATATACCAATTAGTATTGTGTTTCTGTTTCAGGGTCAGTTTTGTACTCTGTGACTGAACAACTGCTAAAAGAAGTTGAACATTCGTACAAGTCAACAGGCAGATGTATGTATAAATATATCACAAGTAAAACTTTTATCATATTCCAACCAAAATAAATAAAACTAGCATACAATTTAGCACCATAGTATTTGGTTATAAACCAAATGATTTCAATATTATTTGTACAAGGTAGGATTTATTTTTAATTGTCATGTTGAAACCAATAAAATAATATAAGTTGGTCAACAGGGCTTTTCAGAACCTATTTTAGGGCCTAATGAAAATAGTGATACTTTTTCACCAATTCTCAAAAACATAGCCTGCAATGACGCGAATATTAGTTTTAATTTGTCAGCGGTTGCGTCGTCAGAAACAAGGTTTCTGTACGATAACTTGAGTTCCCTTGTGTTGATTGAACTCAAACTTAATACACGTATTACATACCAATATACCAATATAGCTTGAACAAGTTCGCATTTCAGAAGTTTATGGCATTTTTGGTGGAGTTATGCCCCTTTTATTGTCAAATAAGGGCATTGTGTAGTAAATGCAAGAACGTTTTTATTTTTTAATAAATTGCTTTCAAATTTTGTACAGTAATGCTAGAAGCAATAATGTTCAACATATATTACGGGTCTTTCTGCCGAGTGCCAACTTTCCGTGTTTTGGCATATCTGTTTACGGGATATCTCAAGCTAAAACACTTTTCTTACTAAAAGTGCTGAGCATGCGACAAATCCTATCCCGTTTAATTTTTGTTTAATTTCAACTTGTATTCAGATGACAGTGCAACATCTATAATCTAAAGTTAAAACAGAGTATTTTTAACAGGAGCATTTAAGTAATTAGACACTTTGTATGTTAAGAAATATAATAAACATGTGTTATAATAACCTACACTCACAATTTGGATTGCTGCAACACTATTTTCTCAATTATAAAGCCAAATGTTCCATTCTCAAAGGGGGAAATAACCCTAAACCTAACCTTACGTATTATGTTCTGTTACAGTAACGGATGAAATTCTGTCGGCGTGAGTATCCTGATTAGTGATTGGCTACCTTAGTTTTACTGCAGCTTCAATGTAGGACAGATCAGTGTTTGTTCTGACAAGACTCAAATTCAACTGCATTCTGGCACACAAGGGATTAGATTACTCTGATTTTCACTGTTCTCTTCTAATTTTTACAAACACATAGGGTGGAAGGATGGTGCAGTGGATAGCACACTTGCCATTCACCAAGGTGGCCAGGGTTTGATTCCCTCCAATCAGACGTGAAAAGGTATGGGGTCACCTGCCCGACCACATGGGTTTTTTCCAGGTACTCCGGTTTCCTGCCACAATAAGACCCCTTGCACGCTAACATCAGGCCTAACGAGACTGATTAATATAAGTTGAAATAACTTGTTTCATAATTGTTGTAAAATAAATAAAGTTTATATTTTATGTTTACAAAAATCGATTGATAACATTTAATTTGTTAGGAAAGAAAACTGAAACAGTATTTTGTTGTAACTGCAGAATGAACATTAAAAATTTGTATTAATGATTGAAATCAAGGTTACAGTTCGTGTTCCAAACAACCCTTCTCCCTGCTCTGGATCTAGTTGATCAGCGGAATGTGACCCGACTTTCCTCACCAAGTGGACGTATCATTTATCAGGTACAGAGGGGGTCTTACCCGTCTCTAATATCCAAAAAGATTCTTCTATCTAGTTGATATAGAAAACATGTCTTATCTTGTATTGTCTTGAAGTAAAAGGCCTTGTTTAGCTTAGAGGCTATAAGTTGTTTAGCTCAGTAATTCTACTTGATGACAAATGTTAATATTCCAAGAGTTTGACTCTGACCTGTCCAGTTAGAACACGTCAGTCAGGTTACACTTTATAGTGGCCCCACTGATCAGATCTTCATAGGACATTTGCTGTTGACTTATATAGACTCCACTCCTTACAATAATGTTAAATTGGTGAGTTTGTCTCACAATGGTAAATTCCTGTATGTAGAAATTTGATGTTAATATACACAGGTAGTGGGAAGTTCTGGGACGCCGTACACATGTCTAGCCACCAGCATCTACTGTTCCTGTCCAGCTTACAGATTCTCCGGTGAGTTCAGATCTGGACTAAAAGACAGAGAGAAAAAAAAGATTTGTAACACATTTTAACATGTGTTGAACTGGAGCACATTCATGTATTTCCTCTTTATCCTCCATATTTATGGCAAATTGATAATTTATCACATTTTATGTAGTGAAGAATAAAATATCCAGAATAAAGTTGTATAGAACTGAATATAAAGAGGCAGAGAAAGCTGGTACTGCTCACCTCTGATTGGATCCTATTGAGAAAAACATTTGTCATCTGTGACCATCAGTGTAGGTAAAGTAACATTATCTAAACAGACACCAAGCTAACACAACAGGTTTAAAGATTTGTCTCCTGTTACCTTTACCTATTAACCTCGGGCTCATTTATATGAACAGTCTTGTAAACCCTTCATCCCAACGTACTGTTACATCTTGCTAAATATCATCACACTAGGCCTTATGGTTATTCATCAGAGGTTGTGTTTAATAGTTGTGACACATATATAGTGTAAATGCCAGTAGGCTACAGGTCAGATATATAGACCTTAGACCTCATTATTCCTAAGTTTTAACACAGTTTGTGACGTTAAAAGTGGGTAAAGTCTATAGAAAAGTGGGTAAAGTCTATAGAAAAGTGGGTAAAGTCTATAGAAAAGTGGGTAAAGTCTATAGAAAAGTGCAAGCAGCTCATCCACAATTAAGTAACCTGTTTATATTACTGAGAAGTTATGAAACCAATAAAATGTGTGACCTCACAAAACATTGGTGCTAACAATCTCCACTTGACGTTGTGACTGGATCTTCGTTTCAGTACTGCTGAAGCAGGACCATATTATGGTATGTATGCATTGTTATATCTTGTATGCTATTTATAGACACTTTGAATTCCCATCTACAATATTGTGTTTTTCAGAAGTTTTTTAGAGAAGTTGGGTTCTAAATTAATCATTAATCATCATTAAATGAATGCAAATCTTCTATTTTTTTTGTTACCGTTAATATAAAGTTAATAGTGCCATTATTTTCATGCAGTTCTGTGTGACATCGATATTTAATGTATTATATGTAATAATACACTTTGAATACCCTATTTAAATGCTATATAGAGAAGGGGCTGCGGTGGTCAAGTGGTTAAGGTGTCTGACATTCTGCTACTACTAGCCTTTCACTGCTGTGTCGCGGGTTCGAGACCGATTTGGGCAGTTGGCAGGTACTGGCCATCGGTCGGTGTTTTTTCTCCTAGAACTCCGGCTTTCCTCCACCACCAAAACCAGGCACGTCCTTAAATGACCATAGCTGTTAATAGAACGTAAAACACAAACAAAAATGAGCCATTTTTGCAGCAAATATCATGGCATAAGGTGACTGAAGTCTTTGAGTGGGGAAAGTGCAACTGGACAACAGTTGTCATTTTCTCTGAGTTTTTGATGTCCTCGTTGTATTCCAGTTGCCAACCAAGTTCATACAGTTCCCTGCTTATATATTGTAGTGTAAACACACATTGGCTATTCGATTGGCTATTACTATGGACCTGTGTAAAGAGTTAAAAGTCTCCAACCAGGAATTGGTCAAGGCCATTACCAGCATCGACTGATCATGTCACAACAGGAAACGATCAAGGCCAGAGTAAATATTGACTCCAGTCACAACAGGAAACGATTAAGGCCGGAGTAAAAATTGACGCCAGTAAGAACAGGAAACGATCAAGGCCAGAGTAAATATTGACTCCAGTCACAGCAGGAAACGATCAAGGCCAGAGTAAACGATCAAGGCCAGAGTAAATATTGATCCCAGTAAGAACAGGAAACGATCAAGACCAGAGTAAATATTAACTACAGTCACAACAGGAAACAATCAAGGCCAGAGTAAATATTGACTCCAGTCACAACAGGAAATGATCAAGGCCAGAGCTTACTTTGTTGCCTGCTATCCAAATAGGAAAGTCTGAACAAAGTTTGATTGACTTGTCACACAAGCAATATACCAACGGTAACACAAAGACAGTGATGATTTACCATGACATTTTAACTGATTAACAACAATATTGTTATCCCCTGCTTAATACATCTTTCAAGGTCATAAGTCAAGACCAAAAATTAATTTTTAACATTAAAGCATGTAAATAACTACTTCCAATCTTTTATTATGATTATGAAACTATGTTATTGTATAAAGAGTGATCTCTCTCAGTTATTTAAACAGTTCAGATTCAAATATCAAAACTTGTTTCGGGTCAAAATTTAAGGTTTTTCAGTCAAATTTGATCCCTTCAGTTGGTATTATTCATTTCAGTTTTTATCTGAACATTTCATGTTTATTTTACATAACGGGTATGCAGTGGTGAAGTATATATCATTCATTAGTACAAGTACATTACTTTTCTTTAAACAGTTATTGAACACTAAAAAAACTGTCAGGGACAACTGACTCTCTGGGTCAGGGACAACTGAAACACTCTGGGTCAGGGACAACTGACACACTCTGGATCAGGGACAACTGACACACTCTTAATCAGGAACAACTTAAAAAACTCAGGGTCAGGGACAACTGACACACTCTGAGTCAGGGACAACTGACACACTCTGAGTCAGGGACAACTGACTCTCTGGGTCAGGGACAACTTAAACACTCTGGGTCAAGGACAACTGACACACTCTTAATCCGGGACAACTTAAAACACTCGGGGGTCAGGGACAACTGACACACTCTGGATCAGGGACAACTGACACGATCCGGATCAGGGACAACAGATAGACTCTGGATCAGGGACAACTGACACACTCTGGATCAGGGACAACTGACACGATCTGGATCAGGGACAACTGAAACACTCTGGGTCAAGGACAACTGACTTTCTGGGTCAGGGACAACTGAAACACTCTGGGTCAGGGACAACTGACACACTCTGAGTCAGGGGCAACTGACACACTCTGGATCAGGGACAACTGACACACTCTTAATCAGGAACAACTTAAAAAACTCAGGGTCAGGGACAACTGACTCTCTGGGTCAGGGACAACTGAAACACTCTGGGTCAAGGACAACTGACACACTCTTAATCCGGGACAACTTAAAACACTCGGGGGTCAGGGACAACTGACACACTCTGGATCAGGGACAACTGACACGATCCGGATCAGGGACAACTGACACGATCTGGATCAGGGACAACTGACACACTCCGGATCAGGGACAACAGATAGACTCTGGATCAGGGACAACTGACACACTCTTGATCAGGGACAACTGACAAACTCTTAATCGGGGAAAACTTAAAACACTCAGGGTCAGGGACAACACACACAATCTGGGTCAAGGACAACTATCACACTCTGGGTCAAGGACAACTGACACACTCCGGGTCAAGGACAAACAACACACTTTTAATCGGGGACAACTTAAAACACTCATGGTCAGGGACAACTGACACTCAGGGTCAGGGACAATTAAACTGACACAATCTGGGTCAAGGACAACTGACACTCTGTGTAAAGGACAACTGACAAACTCTTAATCCGGGACAACTTAAAACACTCAGGGTCAGGGACAACTGACACACTCTTAATCAGGAACAACTTAAAAAACTCAGGGTCAGGGACAACTGACACACTCTAGATCAGGAACAACTGACGAACTCTGGGTCAAGGACAACTGACACACTCTTGGTCAGGTACAACTGACACACAGTGTCAGGACAACTGACACACTCTGGGTTAATGACAACTGACACACTCTGGGTGAATGACAACTGACACACTCTGGGTTAATGACAACTGACACTCTGGGTCAAGAAAAACTGACACACTTAGGGTCAGGGACAACTGACACACTCTGGGTCAGGGACAACTGACACTCTGTGTAAAGGACAACTGACAAACTCTTAATCAGGGACAACTTAAAACACTCAGGGTCAAGGACAACTGACACTCTTAATCAGGAACAACTTAAAAAACTCAGGGTCAGGGACAACTGACACACTCTGGATCAGGGACAACTGACACACTCTGGGTCAAGGACAACTGACACACTCTTGGTCAGGTACAACTGACACACACAGTGTCAGGACAACTGACACACTCTGGGTTAATGACAACTGACACACTCTGGGTCAAGGACAACTGACACACTCTGGTCAGGGACAAATTAAACACTCAGGGTCAGGGACAACTGACACACTCTGTGTCAGGGACAACTGACACTCTGGGTCAGGGACAACTGACAAACTCTGGGTCAGTGACAACTGACACACTCTGGGTCAGGGACAACTGACACACTCTGGGTCAGGGACAGCTGACACACTCTGGGTCAGGGACAGCTGACACACTCTGGTCAGGGACAATTTACACACTCTAGGTCAGGGACAACTGACACAATCTGGGTCAGGGACAAATGACACACTCTGGGTCAAGTACAACTGACACACTCTGGGTCAGGGACAACTGACACACTCTGGGTCAATGCCAACTGACACACTCTGGGTCGGGGACAACTAACACACTGGGTCAGGGACAACTGACACACTCTGGGTCAGGGACAACTGACACGCTCTGGGTCAAGGACAACTGACACACTCAGGGTCAGGGACAACTGACACAATCTAGGTCACGGACAAATGACACAATCTGGGTCAAGGACAACTGACACACTCAGGGTCAGGGACAACTGACACACTCTGGGTCAGGGACAGCTGACACACTCTGGGTCAGGGACAGCTGACACACTCTGGTCAGGGACAATTTACACACTCTAGGTCAGGGACAACTGACACAATCTGGGTCAGGGACAAATGACACACTCTGGGTCAAGTACAACTGACACACTCTGGGTCAGGGACAACTGACACACTCTGGGTCAATGCCAACTGACACACTCTGGGTCGGGGACAACTAACACACTGGGTCAGGGACAACTGACACACTCTGGGTCAGGGACAACTGACACGCTCTGGGTCAAGGACAACTGACACACTCAGGGTCAGGGACAACTGACACAATCTAGGTCACGGACAAATGACACAATCTGGGTCAAGGACAACTGACACACTCAGGGTCAGGGACAACTGACACACTCTGGGTCAGGGACAGCTGACACACTCTGGGTCAGGGACAGCTGACACACTCTGGTCAGGGACAATTTACACACTCTAGGTCAGGGACAACTGACACAATCTGGGTCAGGGACAAATGACACACTCTGGGTCAGGTACAACTGACACACTCTGGGTCAGGGACAACTGACACACTCTGGGTCAATGCCAACTGACACACTCTGGGTCGGGGACAACTAACACACTGGGTCAGGGACAACTGACACACTCTGGGTCAGGGACAACTGACACGCTCTGGGTCAAGGACAACTGACACACTCAGGGTCAGGGACAACTGACACAATCTAGGTCACGGACAAATGACACAATCTGGGTCAAGGACAACTGACACACTCAGGGTCAGGGACAACTGACACACTCTGGGTCAGGGACAGCTGACACACTCTGGGTCAGGGACAGCTGACACACTCTGGTCAGGGACAATTTACACACTCTAGGTCAGGGACAACTGACACAATCTGGGTCAGGGACAAATGACACACTCTGGGTCAAGGACAACTGACACACTCAGGGTCAGGGACAACTGACACACTCTGGGTCAAGGACAACTGACACACTCTGGGTCAGGGACAACTGACACACTCTGGGTCAATGCCAACTGACACACTCTGGGTCAGGGACAACTGACACACTCTGGGTCAATGCCAACTGACACACTCTGGGTTAGGGACAACTAACACACTGGGTCAGGGACAACTGACACACTCTGGGTCAGGGACAACAGACACGCTCTGGGTCAGGGACAACTGACACACTCTAGGTCACGGACAAATGACACAATCTGGGTCAGGGACAACTGACACACTAGGTCAGGGACAACTAGCACACTCTGGGTCAGGGACAACTGACACACTCTGGGTCAGGGACAACTGACACCCTCTGGGTCAAGGACAACTGACATACTCAGGGTCAGGGACAACTGACACAATCTAGGTCAGGGACAACTGACACACTCTGGGTCAGAGACAGCTGACACACTCTGGGTCACGGACAACTGACACAATCTGGGTCAGGGACAACTAACACTCATGGTCTGGGACAACTGACACACTCTGGGTCAGGGACAACTGACACACTCTGGATCAGGGACAACTGACACACTGTTGGTCAAGGACAACTGACACAATCTGGGTCTGGGACAACTGACACACTCTGGGGCAGGGACAACTGACACACTCTGGGGCAGGGACAACTGACACACTCTGAGTCAGGGACAACTGACACACTCTAGGTCAGGGACAACTGACACACTCTGAGTCAGGGACAACTGACACCCTCTGGGTCAAGGACAACTGACACACTCTGGGTCAGGGACAACTGACACACTCTGGGTCAATGACAACTGACACACTAGGTCAGGGACAACTGACACACTCTGGGTCAGGGACAACTGACACACTCTTGGTCAGGGACAACTGACACACTCTTAATAAGGGACAACTGACACACTCTGGTCAGGGACAATTTACACACTCTAGGTCAGGGACAACTGACACAATCTGGATCAGGGACAACTGACACACTCTTGATCAGGGACAACTGACACACTGTTGGTCAAGGACAACTGACACAATCTGGGTCAGGGACAACTGACACAATCTGGGTCTGGGACAACTGACACACTCTTAATAAGGGACAACTGACACACTCTGGTCAGTGACAATTTACACACTCTAGGTCAGGGACAACTGACACAATCTGGATCAGGGACAACTGACACACTCTTGATCAGAGACAACTTACACACTCTTGGTCAGGGACAACTGACACAATCTGGGTCAGGGACAACATAACAACAGGACATTCTGATGTGCCTTCTTGTAGTGCTGCCAGCATGTGCCTTATAACCTAACTCTGTTTAAACCATAACTTTATTAGGGCCCCGTATCGGGTGCCCTATAGTAATCACTCTGTCTGTCTGTCCGTCCACAAATTTTGTTCCTGGCTGATAACTTTGGTATTTATTGACCGAAGTACATGAAACCTGGTCAAGATGTTCGGTTCACAAAAATACACATTGAG